ATCTCAAACATTATATCTCCTTCCTCTCTTATCCATCGCGCCCAATCGCATTTTTGTTTAGTTCAGAATGCCCAGCTTCCACTGTAACAACAGTTTATGGAAAATTCTATAAATAAATAAATAAAAATTAGAATTAGGGAATATTCAGTAAAACTGCTGATTATCAAAATGAATAATTAAAATAAAAATATTTTTTTTACGTAGAGAGAAATATTTAACTTAAAGCACATTTAAAAAGCGATAATAAATAATAGTTTTTATTACTATGAAATTTAGGTTTGAAAGATCAATGCAATAGAAGCTGGATATTCAGCCTAATGCGGAAATCTCACGGAGGAAATTGTGTGTCATCGGAGGAGGAAAGAGAAGGTAATTGCGGTGGTGATTTCAAGTTCGATCGTATTTCCTGCGTAATTATTACAGTAACGCGATAAATGCGAGAACAGTATTTCTGTAGAGTCGTTGAAAATTATGGAAAAATCGTCTCTCTCGTACGATAAGCAGTAAATTGACACGCGCATAAATTGACTCGTACACGTGACACGTGTGCAATGGATATCTCATATCTTTGTACATGTGAGTTGAAATGTACCGAATATCATGTTAGTTTTTGTACAATACACACATTGTCGCTTATCTCAAATTTTTAATAATCATGAATATTGACAATTGCCAACAGCGAAATCAGTACATTCGCGTTACACGCATCGTGGAAAAATGCAAATAATTTAATGTGCAAAATAAGAAGTATAATAGAAACAAACAGAAATTGTGAAAGAAAACAAGCAACAAGGATAAACAAAAAGTTTGAAGGAAAGATGAAAAAAGCAAGAGAAAATAGAAATTAGAAAAAAAAACGAAGATAAAAATCACCACAAAGTATGTTAAATAAAAAATTAACTGCTCGAAAAAATAGATGTATAAAATCGATTTAATTAATCAAATTTCCTTCATATGTAATGTATATGGTCGAAAAGGAGGGAACGACTAAGAGGTGTACTGAGTATATCTAAGAAGTGCCACTGCGGAATATCGCTGTGAATCGAATTATAGGAGTAGAGATTGATGTCATAGAACCGTAAGCGAAATTGCGACAAAGAAAATTGCTGAGGAGAATGTAGAATTTAACGTGGGGTAAAATTATTAAACGGCAGCTTCGCAAACGATTTCGCAACGTTCGATCGAGCGGTTCTTTCGGGGAGAGGGCGGTACTCTTTTTTTTTTTCTCCCCTCCTGTCTGCACTCGAGTATAACCATTGCGAAGGCCGATAGTACCGAACTTTCCGCTCTTCATACGAATGGAATGGTCAGTAGTAATGACCGGAATTCATAATTAGCGTTCAACGTCTTCGAAGCTAAACGTGGCGTTAGTTTCGTTTCCACTCCAAAATTCCGATACTGTATAAATAAATCCGTTTAGTTTCCACGCCAGATCTCGTGTAGTCTGCTCTACAGAACAAATCTCTAAGGCGGCATATTCTAAGGACGTGCAGAGAATATCTTGGAAGCGTCTTAAAAATGTCTCCAGAACATCTTTCGGATAATGTATTCTATGTGGATTGAGCCCACTCTGTATTTTCGTACATTTTGTTTTATTTCAAATAGAGAAGAAACGAAAATAAAGTCCCCCCTTAGTCTTGTCCTTCACAGCTGAAACTTTTGTATTCTTTCCCTTCTCTTCTAACGTCCAATTAAGATTGTGGCGTACAAAAGACACAAGAGTACGATGGAAGCAACACCTAAGTGAATTGATCAACACAGTAGAAAGCATTAGGCGACAGCAAATTCAAAATATTAATTATACATATGTTTAACACAACAAGTAAAGAAACAAATAATATAAAGTGATGTGACTCAATAAGAATAAAATTCAAAATAATTTAGAAGGGCTACGAGCCAAAACAAAGTCATTTAATTACAAGTAAAATTAAAATTTAAATATCGTAAACAGACATTTCGACACCGATTCGTTCTATATTTTGCGTTGATAATAACCCGATCGGTGTCGAAACGTATGTTTACAATATTTAAATTTTAATTTATATTTTTATTTTACTTGTAATGAAATGACTTTGTCTTGACTCGTAGATCTAAATTATTTTGAATTTTAAAGAAAAAGTTAAAATTTGCGAGTCTAATTGTTGCATTTTTAATTTTAAGAGAAAACATTGCTCAAATTTTGTTTCTGTACATCACAGCTGTTTCGAGAAAGTTTTCAGAAAGTGTAATGTGCAGAAAACAGAGAGCTCGATCGAAAACAGAGAGATCACGCCGACGTCAGAATACGAATTTATTTCGCGGATAATCTAGAATGTGTGAGTCGCGCGTTCGTAAACAATTGCGTCGTAATCTCTCTTATCGCGTAGTAGATTTTCGCGCAGGAATCAAACCATGAAGGTGACGACGCGAGGGCTCGCGCATCTTCCCGATGCCGAATGGGATTACCTATAATCGTAAAAAGCCAGGACAAGAATGAAAAGCGCGACCATGTTAGGACGATTCGCGCGCGCAGCGGGAATGCGGGCTCGAGAATCGATACGCTTCCCTCTCGCCCGTATGCGGCGCAGTTCCGACGATACGGTACGTTCCCCAGCGAGCAATGTATCTCTTCCTTCTTTCGTCCGCGCTCCTTGCGCTTCTCCACCTCCTCTCGTTTTTCGCTTCCTGCGTATCCATTAAACAAGGTTTCGATCACGAAGGGAAAGGAGATCGATATCCGCAATCGTATCGTGTCACGTCGCACCAGCTGTCGACGACGACAGTACTCGTCGAGAGGAGGCGGAAGAAGGAAGGAGGGAGGGAGGGAGGGAGAGGGAACGAGGGGCGGGTTCATATAACGTAAACGTCCTCATCAGACATTAGTCGAACGCTTCGAAAAATCACGCTCGATCCCGATGTCCGGAGTCTCCGTTATGGGCGTTTTTCTGAATTTTCGTCCTTCCGAAGAACCGACGACGGAGAAAGAAGGGGTCGGGCCGAAGTGCGACAGGAAAAGGCGCGAGGTACTCACTAGAACAGTTCATCGAGGGGCGTGATGGAGGCCGATTCGCCGCCGTAGTACTTGTTGCGGTCGATGTGGAGCACCCGTTTGCCGCTGACGGAGAGCATACCCGAGAGGATGCACTCCTTCAAGCCGGTGCCGAGGACAATCGCGTCGTACTCTTCATTCATGTTCGCGCCAGGCGAGAAACTGACCGTGGGAGGCGAAAGAGGAAAGCGGTGATCCGAGACTTGCGAATTATCGCGCTACTTGAACGCCGAGTGTACTGCTCGCGAACTCTCTCGCGTTTCTCTCCCTCACGGCACGGAATCTTCTTTCTCTCTCCCCCTCTCGTCTGCCGCGTGTCCCACGACGTCGCGCGATCGAGAAAACGCTACCTGTCGCAGCACGACACTGTACTGCACGGCAGAACGGCACAGCACAACACGGCACGTCACGACTCACGACACGACACGGCGTGGCGTGGAACGGAAGGAAGACCAGCTCGCTTTGCTCCGTCGACGACGACGATGGCGGTGATGACGATGGTGGTAACAGCCAGTAGCGGCAGTGGTGAGCTGGTGGGTAATGTCCACTTTTCCCTAGGCTTGCGTGTCACGTCGACGCGTTGCGAAGCGGCTTTAAAGTAAGGTGCAGTCACCACAATCCGTTCCAAATTTAAGAGCAAAAATCGCAAATTTTATCCCAAATTGATGACATGATCGTGAATTTTCCCTCTTTCAAATGTGAAATAACTATAAAATATAATTTTTAACATGTGAAGAATTTTATGATTTTTTTACTTAAAATCCAGATATCTTTATTCAGAAAAAGAATTCAGTGGGAAATATAATTTTAGAAATAAAATATGATCTCGTAACTCAATATATAATGTTTATTGTGATCTCATGTGACGTTATATATATCATATATTAAGTGTCATTAGTCTCTCTCTCTCTCTCTCTCTCACACATTTACAAATAATAATATTGTTCATGTATTTCATTAAAAATGTTTATTAAAATTTCAATACGATTAATATTGATTTTTTTCAATGTCTTACTTTTTTTCTTACAATTGATCATTTTACTTTAAAGAGAAGCGATTTTTACTTTGCACGAGTAGATTCATTATTTATTCACGTGTGCGATAAGCGATTAGTTTCGCTTATCCGGTCAATTATATGTATCTTTAAACATTATGAAAATAACAAAAGTCGACAAATTACAAATGTTGATCAAAGAAATTATAAATCTGCTTATTTTTGTAATTTTCATCTCAAGGTAAACAATAAATTTCTTATATTACAATAAACTCAAAAGAAAAATCACATAAAACAGACTGAACATCGTTCACAATCAGTTGTCGAGATAACGAGATATATTTCTCAGCTTATAACGCGAAAAAGTAGAATAAAAAAGAGAAGATTTATTATCATCTCTTTTGTCATCTCTGAAGATTTATGACGCTTATCTCTTATTGTTAGATTGGTATTATATGTATTGTACATATAATATATATAGCAGAGATTGTTAATTTATTTAATTATACAATAAATTTCTCAAGGCGAACCGATTATGTCATAATTATAATTTTTCTTCACCAATACGTTTATCAGTGATAACATCTACAAATCTTATACTGACGGTACAATTTACAAAATTAATGATAGAAAGGGACGATCTTCAAATTTTCTAATCTAGTGATAAATAATATAAACTAATTAGTATTATGTATAGAATTATAATTCTTAAATTGTATTATAATAACATGTGACTGACGTTTCTCGAGACAAGAAAAGGCAGATCGCTCATCGACTTCAACCAATCACGTTCCGATCTGACTGTCGTATTTGTAGAACGCGGCTTGCGTTTTATAGTAACATTTCACGTTTATATTATTCCTAGGAACTTGTCGTCCGTGTCATATTTCTTATTACGCGATCTCGCGCCAGATGTCATCGGTTTCGCAGCAGCCAGCCAGAGCCAGCGTGTTTAAAACGTCAGTACGTTCACGACGATAGAGTGGAGCGGATGTCTTGTCGGTCGTCGGAGCCGTCGAGCGTGTCGGAGCAACGTCTGGCGACGCGATCGCGCTTATCAGTCGCGGTGAGTCGACCGCGATAACGCGCTCGCGAAACATCGAGGTGAGTTCGTTGATGCGCGAATTTTCCGAAAGAAAAGGAAATAAAAAAAAAAAAGAAAAGAAAGGAAAACACAAATCGTCCGCGCCGCTCTCTCGCGCGCGCGTACACCTACCTGATGCGCTCGCAGATCGCGGCTCCGCGGAGAGGAGATCGCGGATACGTGAGATCGATTTTTGCACCAGGTGTTTGCCATACGTGATTCATCCTCCTCGCCGCGGACTTTCCCGACGCGCGCGCGGGGAGATGTGAGCTTCGACGTGTCCTCCCTCCGACGAATTCGGGGCGAGCCGTCATCCGCCTTTGAACGGGGCCACGTGGACCACGTCGGGAGGCAGGAAAAAATGTGAGCGCCCTCCCTTCCTCTTTCTTCCTTTCGAACGACCCTTTTCGGGGGATACGTTATACGCGCTCGATCCCGAACACAAGCGCGAGTAAAACTTTTTCCTCGTTCTCTCTCCGTGGAAATTCTTCGGAGAAAGTCTGCCGCGTTGTGGAGTCATCGGTTTTCGACGATTTGTCGCGCAACTTTGTCACGAAAGTGGAAAATTCGAACAGGTAGATTAATCCCGGTTTAGAAAAGAAAAAAAAAACATTGAGGGCGGTCGCAGGCGAGACCGTTTCTTTGCAAGTCTACGAAGAAGACGGTTTTACTCGACTATTATTATCTAGAAATTTATTTTAGATAATCCAACAAAATTGTTTCCAGATCTAGCCAAATTTATCTGACTAAATTTTTTTATAATATATTTCAACCAGATCGTTCTTTCCGTGCATAAAAAGCAGAAGTTTTTAATGAGAATAATATGATTTGTGGAGAATTATATGTCAAGCAATTAGATATTGTGTGTGATAAAAAACGAGAATATGTTTGTTGAAGCGATTTTGAACTCGTTCTCCCCCCCCCCCCCTTTTTAAATTTCGTAGGATTTATTACACTCGGGATGAATCAGTTGCGATGCGACTGAAAAGGTATAAACGCGGTAGGAAAAAGCTTACAGTTTGCAACGTCGTAAAGTAACGGTTAATTCGCCTGAATGCAATCGCGTAAAATTGCCTCTCATGCTCTCAGAAAGAAGACATTCTTTCGCGTAAATTGTCTCAACTGACGATTAGGATGATTCTATCTGTTACGTGTAATTAGTCCTCCTAAAAAATAATTTTTAACAATTTTGTAACTCGCTATGTAATTCAAACGCGTGTATACTTAACATAACGTAACGTTATTCGCAGTATGACTAACACGAAAGACTATCGTGTAATATTAAGAAACTATCATGTAATAATCGCATATTATAAAGAAAAAATGCGATAAGACAATATATGGTATAATAAAAGAAACGTCACGCACATAATACAAGATGATACAGATTATTTTCTTTATTGCCATTGGTGGGACATTCGTTTATGATTTTGCACCTTTTAGTTTATGACGTGCTTTTTGCTTCACGCAAAAATGTCAGTCTTATTATTTCCCGAGAGACGTCGTGATATCGAATTGTTTCGCTGACGAGACGCGATTCCGCGTGTAATGTTACCCGCGATTCTAGCCGAAAAAAATTGATCCTGTGTGGAATTCCAGCGAATTTTGAAAACGTTATCTCATTATTTATTCGCGTTGTGTAGGTATACACGTATGCGCATTTCGATGATTCGGCTAATGATCGAGCGCCGCTTATCGCACGCACTCGCTATCATATAGTCACCTGATTGAAATGAGTGTCGAAGAAAATTGCGATATCACCTGAACCATATTGAATATTAATGCTTATCTTGAGCTCTAAAGGGCTATCCCATTCATTCAAGATTAATCCGTAACAAAAATACACGTGTATTTTTGGTGACGTTAAAGGACATATGCATAGAAAGGACAATTTTGCTGAGAGGTATCTAAAAATTTAACTAGATACTGATCTAAAAATAAACTTGATTATTGAGCCATTCAAAGAGTAATTATGTACGATGTTTAAACCGGTTACTAGAACGTCAAAACTTTTGGCAGCATTGCTCATCATGCTTGACACGCTTATGTAATTATTGTATTTTAATGATCCAACAAAAATTATATCTAGAACGGTATATCCAACTAATTTTTTAAATACCTCAGCGAAATTGTTCTTTCCGTTTTAGAATCTCTTAAAGTTTTTGTTATTAGTTTCAGAAGAAAAGTTTTAGAAGTTTTGAAATTGTCAAAACTATACTCAAAAAAATTATAACGCTTTAACTTAGCATAAATATAAATACGATAATAGTCTACATGAATACAATAAAACTTATGAAAAAAGTAAGATTGTACAACATAAAATTATTCTAAATCATTATAAATTATTATTTAAAAATTAGAAAAATATTCGAGGATCATTAAGACCCATAAGTTACGGATTAACAAAGTAGAAAGTAAGAATTATGAGTTCGGTCTAAACTTAACGATTATATATTAGTTCAAACTTCTCAAAAGTCATCAGTTTTATTTAGGTAGTCCGAATGTGTTATATAATTTATCGAGTTTCTGGTAGTAATATTTCACGCCAAGGCGCAAACGCAATACACAAGTAAAATACATTATTCTGGCGTATTACGGGATATGTTTTAGGGATCCCATCTGGATTCCGTTATGTTTTACAGGAGTAAGAAAGAGAGAGAGGGAGAGAGAGAGGAATTCTATTACACTCGTTGTGTTTATTTCGACGCCTCAGTCAGAAAACCCACTCTTGCGTTAACTAGAAAAAAAGCACGGATAAATTTCCTCGTATTATCACGTTAAATATCGCAATATCAAAGTCTCGAAAAATAAACAAAACTGTGAGTCTTCTCTGATCTTTGATCTGAGATCTCCTTTTCGAAATAACTTTACCAACTTCCGTCTCAATTCTTTGATAATCTGTATTTTGTTCTAAGGAAATGACTTTTTGAAGTTTCTTCGTTTGAAGAAAAATCTTTAAACGAGATGCTTCAAAAAAGTCATTTTCTCAAAGAAATTTAGATTGTCTATAAAGCGTTTGGAATTATCAGAAAAAGATGAAACATTTTCTCAAATATGGTATATATAGATTTATATGCCGTGAAGAATTTTGATCGATGCGTGGACATTATCGAGAATAAGTGTATTAAGACAACTACTGTTATTTCTTTGACAGTACAGTTTTCAAAAGATTAATCTCAAATAATCCAGACGAGTCTCGATGATCAATAGGAGGCGATATCGCAATTTTCTTTAACGGTTACTCCAATCGTCCTAACGACAGTAAATGGCGCGATAAAGCGTGATTAAAGGAGGCGCTCGTGAGTAAACGGGTGACCCAATTTATAGTAGCCGCTCGATTTTTTCTACCCTTGATACCTTCGTTTACATTCGGCCGGTAGCGATTTACGCGCAAAGAGAAGGGTAACTCGCGCGCCATCGATCGTATACCGGAATCTCGTTCATCGCATTGCACGCACACGCGACCGCGCGATTGCACTCATTAGCGCATGCACGCGTGTAACGCACGACGGAACGACCCGTGACACGCATTCCGCCACCCCCTCTTCGCGCTTCTTCGAACTCGAATTAGATTCTACACGCGTCCGTGCGCGAATTAAAGCCCCGGTAAACATAATAAAAATAATGCAAGTTAGATGCTGCTAAATCGAAACGATAAAAAATCAGTTTCCCTGGAATATACTTTTAGATATTATAATCTGCAGGACGTAATGTATTTTTCAATCGTGGAAAATTGTAAGTTTTTATTATATGGTGTGTAAAATATCGTATTAGATAATGTATTTTTAATCATGGAAAGTTTTCAGCTTTCACTATGTATACATGTACTGTACTATATACATAGATGAATCAATAAGTAACCTTAATTTTTATTACCTTGATCGTTGAGGACAAAATTAAGGTTACTTATATTGATTAACCTATCATATTAAGTGTATTTACACACATATGTTGATATGTCATTGCTTTGGAAAATAAGTCCGTTGCAACTTGAAGGATAAATGATCAAGATAAAAATCAACATTAATAAAAAAATATCTAAGATCTAAATAAACAATGTCCTTATTATTAATTGAAACTAGCTCCTTTTATATTTCTACATATCTATCTAAGCTTATCAGTCGCGCATTAATTTAATGCTACGATCCTATCGCGCAATTGTTCGATATCTAAAAGTTATTCGAGATCTTTAACGTTAATAAGAAATAAGAAAGAAAAATATAGGCTATTCTTTGTTTCTAAATCGTAGTTTCAAAATACATTGAACTCTTATCAGAATTATTGGCAAATACATCAGATGGAGAGAGAATGTATTTTTCAATTATCAATCGTGCGAATGAACGATAAGTTCTTTAGCAATACTTTTGTCCATATACAATGTACCTGTCTGACTAATTTCATTTTGTTTTAATGACAAATCGCTGCACGCAAGCTTCGAATCTGTCCTTCAAAAGGTACTTCGATTATTTTTGAGTGAGAGGCTATTAAGATTAATCTCTGAATGACGTACTGGGATTTCGAAATAGTATCTGAAAATAACGCGATATTTCTGAAAGCGTTCTAAATTCCTGCTTCCTGTACACTTTGGCGCAAAGAATTTTCTCGCGGTAACAGACTAATACATGTATTGCATTTTTTTGCAAAGATAGTTTACTTTGACTATCTACACAGAGTACACAAGATATTCGATAAACGTTGCATAGACACTCGTTTTTCAGTATATACTACAGTATTGAGTATTGTTACGAAGTCTTGTACATATACAGTTGCCACTTATCTGGAAATTATCACATATTGTCGTACTAAAGTACCAGATAATAAATAATGCAGAAGTCAGTGAATAATAAATGTAATCCATAACGAATAACTTATGCAGGAACGTTTGCCTCCTTTCCCACTCGATTATAAGATCGATTTAGTTAAATAATTATTAATACAAGTTCGATGAACGTACGAGACATATGGATACATGACATTTGATTAGACACATGATACATGACATATGAGCAGCATTGGTAAAAAAAAAAATTTTTTAAATATATTTTGAATAACAATATTTATGGCTCTTATTGGAAATATACATTGTTTTATATTTTTAATGTTTCGAACAACACATGAATATAATAGTATTAAAAGAAACATTCTTCAAACACGTTTAAAGCATATTTTTTATCAACTTTGTATATACATATTTGAGAAAATGCTGGAAACGATGACATATATTGAATGAATATTATAATGTGCTCATTGTGTGTCTACGTTTATTTTTGACATTTGGCTATTGGCTATCTGCAATATTTCCATGCTGACGCTGATAGAAAGCTTACATAAAATTTTGTTATCATTTTCGTATTAAATCCGATATCTCAATGTTGTCTGAAATAACATATATTCATTTTTTATAAAAATTTAAAATGGATATGCATAAAAATAAATTACAAATTATACACAAATATTTAGAAAAATATATATATGGTAAACTAATCTAATTAATATTTCGACGTTTTTGATATATTTAAATAAATGTTAATTTTTTTTTATTTGCAACAACGTGCCGCGGTATAACTCACAATTAGTATAACACTGCACAATTGCGTCAAGTTCGCATTGTATTTGCGTTTTCTGTTTGAAAGGTACACGCGGTGATGCACGTACGATTGTTATTCTATGTTATTCCGGATACATACAAGCGCGAATGATTCGTGGAAATAAGCGAACACTTGGTGAGAAGAATAATATCAACGAACAGATTTCGAATCAAACGATTGTGCTTAAAAACTTATTATTGGAGCAAGAATGCGAAGACGAATTATCTTCCAAGTGCGATCGAAGAAGATTGAATATCTGCTCTCGAATCGATTCCACAAATTCTGATTATGATACAATTTCATCTATATTTGTGGATAAAGGTGTGGCAGGTCAGACCATAACAATCGATTATCTACGATAATTCTTCGCACGAAAGTCTAGCATTCTATTTGATGTCAATAGTATTTTGTCATTTACAAATAATTCAACAACAGAGTTCATAGAAATTATTAGCAAATCTTAAATTCTAAATATTACAAAATGTTTCAAAACCCATGAGTATTATTTGCAAATAATCCTCAAGAATATGTTATTTTTATTAAAAACTTTATAAATCTATGATTATAGTTTATAGAAGTTATATGAAATAGCAAAATTTGGAAACTTTGTAACTTCTAATATACCAAAAATAAAGCATTAACTACATATATGTTTGATAATTGTCTTCATTGAAAGTGTCCTCTCTTTTATATTTCCCTTGTTAATAATTATTTAGTTATATGAAAGCAAATCATAAGAATGTTCGAGAACATGTATCATTGTTGAAAGTTTTAAGAGACTCAACCGATTCTCGCAAATTTTACTCTGCACTTATTGTTTCACACAGTCTATACGGAATTTTTTTTCTGTATCGCGTATGTGCATAGATGTGCCAGCATGTCCGAGGACGACGCGCAGGAAGCAGCCACCGAGGAGATCGAGAGACAGGGATCTCTTTACGTATTTCCGGGGGCAGGTCGCCCCAACTGCGCGACGACGTCATCGTCGTCTTCGTCGTCGATCTCGACGGCACCTCTCCAGCCGCCTCCTCTGCCGTTCCTCCACGGTGGTTCGACGACGGCGAGCACGACAATGACGACCAGCGTCACGATGACGACAAACACGTCGAAAAACAGCAACAGCAACGGCGACGAAGACGAGGATGCAGTAGAAGAAGTCAGCTCTCCGGCGAGGAGGAAAGCCTTTCCAAAAACGCACGCGAGATCGGCGAGCCACGGTGGTGCCTTGGCAGATGGTACGACCGAATGGCAGACCTACGGGTCCTTTCTGGGTCCATTGACGACGGTGGGAAGTGCCACATCCGCGGGTCGACCATCGGCATTAAAGAAGCCGGGCCATCAGCGAGCCTTCAGTCAGGGTCAGGTGGCGGATGTAACGCAGAGCCAGCCAGCCGTAACGGGACACCACCGTGTTGGCTCCAGAACAGATTTTATCCTACCACCAGGTCACAGGGAGGATGGCAGACCGCCTACAGCCGGCAGAATGCCTTCCTTTCGCGGACATTCCCGTCAAGCGTCCAGGTACGAAGTAAGAGAGAACATAATCATGTATCATTGTGAGTGATAAAGATTAATTATCGGCTAACAACATAATAAATGATGCGTTAATAAAATAAACAAATAGTAAATAATAATTTACAGAATTTGCATTACGTAATCACGCATATGATTTAAAGAGATTTAAAGATAAGATCTATTTCGGTATCGGTCTTTAAATTTTATGTGTAACTGCATATCATGTTATTCGGTAAATAAATCTTTATGCTTTCTCGATAAATGGTTGATATATAAATGAGTGAGTAAGTGAATAAGAAAGAGAGAGATATCAATAATGAATATAAAATCCTAAAGGCCTTTAAGATTTTATCATAAGAGACACAAACAATTTTATTTATAATTTGATATAAGAGATACTTGAAAAATTAATCGGAATAAAATAAAAATTATAATGTTATCCGTGAATTATATATTATCTGTGAGTTCAAATTTTATATGTTGTATATGATCGTTTGATAAAAATATATATTTGTAATCAATATTTTTCATCGATAAAATATTAACATTGAATGTTTTATCATAAAGTATATCGATCAAAATTATAAATTCGATGAATACGTGAAACTAAGAATATTTTTTAATTAAGAATAATATCTTTTACAAAAGGTGATATATATTTTGTGTACAGTTTGTAGAAAGTAAAGTGCTAAGACAGATTTCGTCGCGACTGTTTACAGATCGGAGTCTATCTATACGATAAGACGTAGTGTCGCGCCTCCATGGTGGAGAAGACTATGGGCTCATTATTTTGGTCCATTGCCAGAAGAACCCCGTTTAAGAACAATAGTCCCGAATCATTTAGTCCCCCCGAAGACTCCGAAGAGACAGCATCCCAATGGAGATAGGATGGACAATAGGTGAGAATAATGAGACGAGAAAGATGTGTATGGTCCATTCGAATTGAAGACTCTATAATAGTATTGACCACGAGCAGTTTTGTTAAAACAAGACAGAGAGAATTTAAAAAAGAATATATATATACTCTTTTTATACATATATATATATATATATATATATTCTAACTTATACCCTTATGTTATTCATTCTAACTTATTGAAGTTGACAAATTATTAATATCCTTCTAATTGCTTGTCGGTATAGAAAAATATTAAATTGCTTGTCAATTTAATGTGTGATATTACTACTCTTCTCTGTTCATGATTGCATTTAAAACCGAAAGATTTTTTTTTACAAAATTGTATATAAATTCACTCTGAAATAATTAAGCACTAAGATCCGCTTTGACCACAAAAATAGGTTCACTTCTCTTAATTGATTTACTGAAGTTGAAAAAAAAACGACGGGCTAATCAAAAGTTTATCATCTCGTGGCCAGAATCCGTTATAGAATCTCTGAATCAGACGGACGGTCCGTTGTCTCACAGAGTCTCACACGTTTTCCGCGTGCTCACTTCTTCTTCAGGGTACGCACAACGAAGTACACGGCGCTGAGCTTCCTACCTCGTAACTTGCTAGAGCAGTTCCACCGTGTGGCCAATCTGTACTTCATTTTCATCGTGATGCTTAATTGGGTGCCGGCTATAAACGCATTTGGCAAAGAGATTGCGATGATCCCTGTAGTATTCGTTTTAGGCGTTACGGCGCTTAAGGACTTCTTCGAAGATCGCCGACGACTCGCCAGTGACCGGCGTGTGAACAATTCCACCTGTCGTGTCTACGTTAGGTGAGTGCAAGCAACATCGTAGTTGTACACAGCAAAGTACAGCATACGGGGATCGTATAAGCCCCCTTCCCCCCCCTTCCCCGGAAAACTTCCGTGGAAAAGCGTGTAGAGATAACTCAAGTTTTACAAATAAAAAGAGCCGATATAACGTTACGTGTCTATTTGTAAACTATACGTGAAGTTCGATAGGAACATTAACGAATGTCAATGAAATATGCAGAACGTTAATACGTCTGTCATTGGGAAAGATATTAGAAGAATGTGAAATTCGAATAATGAAGTAAAATAATAATTGAACACCGAAAAAGTTTCGGTTTTATTTCTAATAATGAATTATTATTCTATATGTACGGGGAAGCGCTTCGCGTTGGATAAAAAATTAAACAGGAACATTTAATTTTTCAATTGGTGTCGGCCTTGCGCTCATTTATCCTTGTTCGTATTGCCGTACGAGTCGTCGCTTCAGTTAGAATCCTTGCGGCAACGGAATCCGATAGATCGATTCCAATAAGACCGACAATTCCAGATATGTAGGTCACGTACATGTGAACGCGAATGCGCGCGAGCGAGCGGTTGGCGTACATTGCGGTCGAACATGGTGAAGAAAGTGTCCCGTACCGTTCTTTTCCCGCAGTACACGTCCGCGTACGCAACACATGATACGATGTTCTAATTCGTTCATCAACGTTGTTCACGTTTAGTTCGAATCGACGTGTCTTGCAACGATTACAACGGGATTATTAACAACACGAACGACAGTCACGACAACAGTTTGGATAACGCATATTATCGTACATAATGCGCGTTAAGCCGTTAACATTCGTTATTCGTCATCCGAACACGTCCGCTCATTTCTTACTTATGCATCGCCGAAAATGCTTAGCAAATGAAAACAGAGGTTGTTGCACACGCGATCGAATCAGATAGATTCGCCACGGCTAGAGTTCTCTAACCACGGCTGATACGCTTGCGCCGATAAACGCGTATGTACGCATGCCACGTGGTTGGTTGTACCGCAACGCGAGGATGGCTTGAATTACACAGCCGAACCAGGGAGGAACGAACTCCAAAATATTGTCTCGTGACTTGCAACAATTATGAGGATGATAACTAGGTCTATTAACGTTAATTTGAATTCTCTTCTAATAAGATAAAATCTTTCCATTTTCATTTTTTTTTTTTTAATAAAAACAATTTAATTATAAGACGTGAGTAATTTGACGTATATTAAATTATTGTTATTGTATGCACTTTGATTATTTAAGAAGAATTATCTAAGTAAGTAGCATATCACCTCCTCAATAGGTTTGTCGGGTAAGTTTTTGAATTACCACTTCGACATCAATTCTTGTTCAGAGTGCATAACTTATCACTCAATGGACTCGATAACGACAAACGCGTTGGTCCACGTAGTCGACATCCTGCTGCCTTGCATCTGTGTTTCTAACGCAAATTTAATATCTCTTTCGAAATACGGAGTCCAGTTTTCCATACATAAGTTCCCCATTCTTTATTCAATATATGGAGAAAGCAGCTTATTGTTAGAATAAAATTTCCAGTGATCAAGTGGACTTGAACACGCGGGTTCTCCTCATTACAAGTCTGACGTTTTACCACTAGGCCACAGCGCCGCGCCGCTCTAATCCATTCTCTTTGATACACGATGATAGCTCAAAAACTATTACTGAGCCTTATGTACCTATATAATATTTTCATCATATTAAAAGCATTGTATGTGAAAACCAAGGTTGAGTAAGTTAACTTTTTTTTAAAATTAAATTAAGTTGAATGGCTTATAAAATTAATAAAATTAAATTAAAAGTTGAAGGAACAAAAAGTTAAATTAAGATTGATTTAATTTAAGCTAAAAAAAATTAATTTTGAAAAATGTCCTAATTTTTCTTAAAATGAGATTACTTTAAGAATAACAATTACAATATAGATTATCAGATAAATTTAATTTTTTTATTTACATATAAGTTAAATAAAAAAAATATAATATATGTAAAAATTTTAAAAATAAGTGGATGTGTAGCATTGTTTTACAACAATTTTCAACTAAGGCTCATTTCATATTTCATGTTGCTGAAATATAATATTTATGACACCTAAAATTAGTGTGATTTAAATGTAAGCAGAAATTTACAAAACTTAGCGAGCCAATCAAAATTGACTATTGTATAACGTGACTCTTATTATAAGGTCTCTAATCATAAAATCATTGAGTTTTTCTAAATTAATTTTCTAATGTTTGAGATCTTATAGACAAAAATATTGGCATTAAAAGAGATTTAAAAAATTTAATTTAAAAAAGTTAACAAATTAAAGTTTAAAAGTAACTAAATCAAGTTAAAAATTAATGCATTTATAATTAACTAAAAAATATATAAGATAGTACAGGACTCCTATAATATTCAAAATACAGCAATTTATTATATTATAAAGGGAATATAACAGTCAAAGAATGATTTAAAAAAATTATGTCTATTTTAAAATTAATAATAATACAATTAAATAATAATGAAATTTTTTTATATTATCATAGGCCTATTACATATTTCGGCCCTCTTATATTTAAGCCCTCTTCAGATATAAAAATTCTAACACAGTAAATTATAACTTTAAATTCATGTGTTTGCAAGATAGATGATTTTTAAGAAATGAATGTTTAATCAGGGACTCGACAATTACTAGTTAAGCGATTGGTTGATCAAATGCGAAAATTTCTCAAAGTCTAAAAATTGAAAAAGTCATGTCAATGATGAAATGTTCGTCAAAAGTTAGATATTTCAACTGTGATTTGAAGTCAAAGAAAGTAAAAGATTAATATCACAGTAAATGTACGTAACATCCGATGTATAAAATTGAGATAAATTAACAAGTATATAATATTGAAACAAGTAAAAGGTATAAAATTATTGTAATCACTGCTGATTAAAAACGTCTAATTGTCACGACGAACAAAACTATAATGAATTTTTTATAACTAACTAGCAATAAATTAAGTTACAAGTTATTAACTTTTAACTTTTCTTTAACTTTCAACGTTTAAACTAGTTACTACCTAATCCTGGTAAAAACTAACTCATGTGATATAAAAGAGCATAGAAGTCAATGCGAGTTCTTAGTGCCAATTTAATAATTAAAAATTTTGTTTATTTCTAAAGTACGAAGTGTTCTTTAATATAAATATAAATGTTTATTAGTCATAATCTTTTATTAGTCATAATCAGTATATCGAATTTTATTTAATTGCATAAAAATACATTAAAAATTAACGTGCGTAGGTTTTTCAACATAACATTCTTTAACATTATATGATTACTCGCTAATAATACGTGTGTCTCATTACATATGAGGTGAACTTTTTTACGACTGTTGCATTGAAAAATTGTAGAAAAGAGTTTTTTGCGATTTCGTCACATAAGCGTATCCTATGGAGATTTTTTTTATTTGACAGTCATAGTCATTATTACAGCACTCCTATAAAATTCATATAATTATAAGTAAGAAATTAAAAAAAAAGAAAGAAAAATATACCAATGACGTTACAGATTATGCAGGTAAAAAATTAAATTAAATTAGAGTAATAGAGTCAAAAGTAAATATTGGTAATTTTTCGGTATTATTCTGTTTGTTCAAGCTAATTCAGTTCATCGGGATTCATACAATTAGAGCGAGGTTATCTCGACTTTATATCGATGTAAATTAAGGAAAAATTGAGATCCTCAAAAACATGAGAATATATATATATATATAAATAAAGATAATTACTTTGTTACCTAAAAATAATATTCTTAAATAATAATACAGAAGTAAATCTATGAGCTTTATAAATTCGTTTTAATTTAACAAAAATAAATATATATACAAACCATAAAATCGTTTAATTTAACAAAATATAAAACCAAACAAACAAACGTTTCGACTCCGATCGGGTCATTCTCAATGTTTAAAATATAACGGTTATAAGATACATATACAAGATTAATGTGATTCTCTTAAATTATTTTATGGTTTATATTTTTGTTAAATTAAAACGAATTTATATCAGATTCGTAGCCTTTCTTCTGTATCATTATTTATTTTTATTGAGCCTTGTTACTTATATTTATAATATTCTTAATTTTTACATCTATATGAAAATCAACATAGATTTTTATTCAGTCTCGTATAATTATAATTGTGGTTCAATTGCCGTTAGTTGGTCTATCTAATCGTTCACTCGTCGTTTTGATCATTCTTGCGAACGTGGGCAGTTCCGTGATCGTCACGAACCCTCGTTCATAATGCAACGTAATCGGAAAATTGATCGATGACCTGGCAATTCCGATACGACGTCTCCTCGGATTTCGCCAGGCGACCTTGCCCTTCGACGTATCTCGTCACATCCTGTATACGTCGATTTCTTTTCAATATTAATCCACGATCATGCTTGTAATACAAAAATCATTCCATAATTTGTATAGTAGTCTTGATTTAAAATCATTTTTTTATTGCTACGACAAAAAAATAACTGCGTTATCATAACAATGAGATAAAATATTTATATGTTTACCCGTGTCAACACAGAAGACAATAAATTCTAATCTGTATTTGATGCGAATATTATACAGATCTGATGCAGCCTAGCCGCGACGCACTACCTGCCGATGTATTTGCGTGTTCTCTATCGGAAAGAACGATCGATTCAAAATTACGTTGGCGACTCTCGGCGGCGGCGGCGGCGGGCGATTCTTTGAGTCGTGACCATACGCGCTCGCTAATCGTTCAACTCTATCGTTTTCTGAACGTAACGTATCCGCATAATAGTGCGAATAACTCGTTCTCTTTTCCTCTTACACTCACGGCCAGGTCGATTCTGATCTCGTGCGCCGAAGGCCTTGACATTCGCATTTACTGCCATTACCCCTTTTTATCTCGTCTCGCGTAGCGCGAGCCTTACAATCTTTCGATTCCGCTTGTTAGTCTACCGCGACATATTTTTATTGCAATTACGCGCCTCTTCTTTTAATGCTTTCTGGAAAAATGCCAGCGTCTTTTGGAAATGCATATGCGTACAACTTTAATGGAACTGTAGAATTTCTTTGAGTCACGAAATCAATCTTTTTCTTATCTCAGCTTATTTAATTGGTTTAAATAATTTAATGTGGAATTTAATTCCTCCCTTCGTTCATGTAGGTTATTTTTCTAAATTTTTAGCACAACAGATTGTATCATTATCTACCAAGGCGCGGCAGTTAAGCGAAAGTACTACTTATGATCTGTCTCTGTATTTAATTAAAATTCTGCTCCGTTTCATAGCCTTACAAGATTTGTCTGATTTCTATAAACATTCTATTCTATTTTATAAATGTCCATGAATTGAGGAATCAATTGCTGTTTCGATTTCATCAGCATCTACAAATAATTTGAAAAACATCTCAGCAAATAGATTGAAATGGATTAAAATGAATTCAGATTTTCAGAAATACGGATTCATGAATGTTAAAATGAATCCTTTTCAATCCCATGAATACATTTTTATTCATTTATAGGAATTGTACGGAACATATCTGTATACTTTCAATCTAAAAATAATATCAGCTTTTTCAGTACCTCGTGAATTCAATTCAAATCAAAATTTTGAATAGGCAATTTTGAAACGCAGTTTTTCAATCCATTTGTATCATATTGAATTTAATTGAATCCAATTGAATCTAAAAAATGTTTTTACTGTTTAAAATACGCATTCGAATGGACAAAATGTCCAATCTATTTTAATCCATTTTCATTTGCTGAAATTGTCTTCCTTTGATTTATAATTGTTTAATTAAACATATTTTGCAATATTGTTAAAATTGCAAGTAAAACATAACTTTCTCATGCTATTTCGGAAGAAATATCGCAAGATTCGTGTATACGAAATTGTTAATCATCACACTTGCCTCGTCTGTTTGACACCGATTGTGTGAAATATACAGCTATTAACCTTCGTCGATAGTTTCGTTGTTGTGGTAGCCGCTGGACATGCTATTGCATTTAAACTTCTCCTAAATCTGAAGCCGTAAGACCGCCTACTCAGTATCTCACTTTAGAAGCCTCCTTTTCCACGAGACTCGCCGACGAAACCGACATAGCATTCGCAAACATCTAAATGTCATCCAATACACAATGTTCTTCCGTTACGACGTTACAAAAAATTTCGTCTTAATCAAATTTGAGACGGAAAAATATACATCCAACCCATTTTTCCCTTTTTCAGAGTTTTCTGAGTGCCGTTAAACCAGCGAATGATGTCACCAATTACGTCATGCGATGCGGGTGTGAACGTACGTACTGCGTGTACGTTCACATATCCAATAACTATATCGTTTCTCCGAAACGCGCTTAAAGTTCTGAAATATCGACGAGTAATCAAATATATTTACATACCGAGACATTTTACAGGAAACTTTTCGTATGAACAATTCAGCGTAAAAAGCATAATTATAAATGTTTGACTGATGTGTTTTAAACTATAAATAATTTGCACTTGTTCTCTAACATATTTGATGAAACAATAGGCAGATTTTTTACGATTTCATTCATTTAATCGGAATTATTCTTTTAACAAAAGTATCTTAGTTTTCTTATTTTGCATTATTAAGTTTTAAATTAGTAAAGTATACTTTATTAGCTTTTATGTAATTTTAAAGAAATTGTATTTTATAGTATTCTTTTAATTTGGACGACTTTTTGCAAAATTGTTTAAGTATGAATATTAAAAATGATGATAATTATTCCTCAATAAAATTGATTTTAAATAAATTAATGAATTTGCAACTGATGTATATTAACTATAGATAACTATAGAGTAAAATGTCATAAGTATCGGAATCGTAACCGTTCGAAGTTCAAGTTGTAACATGTTAAAAGAATGCCAAGAAAATGTTAAGTTGGAAAGTTTAAAATTTTTTCCCGCAAATATCGTATAGAAGTTCCATAAATTTTGATAACGGTAATATTGTATAAGTAACCGCTAAGTTATCCTTGACTTGTTATCTCTTGCAACTATATAGAACAGTTAAAAATTGTTATCCTGAAATTGTACATCCGGCGATAACGCACACGATAATAGTGTACACGGTATATTTGATCGTCTGAATACGTGCGACTACAAAAAAATATTATTTATTCATTTAAGAAAATTAGCATATTTACTTCAGGAATCATTAAACAAATGATTACGACGAATTATAATAGCCCTGCTTTAATATGGCATGCTGAGAACGCAGTTACGTTGCTTACGTAATATACCGCAGAAAAACCTGTTATGTATTTTATTTAGGTTCACTTATAGTAGATATTGTTTTTGCAATATTCGTGTACGGATTATATAGAATTCATTAGATTTCTTACTGTATTGTCTATAATATATAGAGATGATTATGATATCAGGCAGATGTTGCGCGAATGTAATTGCATAATTAGCTCATTTATTTGTGGTATATACATCGTATATTCACGTTGCTTCTTTGAGGTGCATAACGATAGAAATCCACGACAAAAAGCAAACGTCGTTTAATCGTGACACCGATACGATACGCAGATGCATAATGCATGCATTTACAATGATTTATGACATACTAAATGTGGCGAAAAAGTGAGCGGTGCAAAGGCACAAGAATAGTGTCTTTCTTTCTATTATCTTCCAAGGCGAATACAAAAGAATTTGCATCATTTAGTCTCGTCTAATAAGGTGACTTTGTAAAGATACATGATATTCTCTTGTTCTCGAAAAAAATCCTTCTATTCACTAATATATTGTGAATCTATCACATTCAAATATCGAAATATCGTTTATGAGAGGATCCGCAGTTCTTAAAGACCATCTTAATTTCATTTCGATGATGATTATCTTTAATGATCGTCCCGTCGTCTCTATTTCATTCCGCGAGATTCACGAGAATGGCTGTGACGATGACGTTCAAGGTCGTACAACCTTGAATGTCGCCACTCAATGTGCTTCAATTAAAGAAATATCGCCAATCAGCTGTTTCGTCATATCCGAAGAGTACTCGAGAGAGATGAATCTTTCTTGAATTAACTACACAAGGTTACTTGTAGATCTATCCATCGTGATTCCATGTCGAGGAGAACCGGAGAGTAATAGGAAATTATATTTTCACGAGACTTTTTCACAACTTATTCCATCAATATTTCGTATATCAATATCTTGACGTACTAGATATAAAAAAATCAATTAAAGTGTAACATGTTTCCTAGAGCTATGTTTTCGTGAGTGATGCTTAATATTTGACATCTCATTAAAAAATTATCAATGCTTGATTAAAAGGAAAAAGAGAGAAAAGGAGCAAAACTGCCTGGCAAAAAATTTTTCATTAGCTTTTTAATTTTTTATCGTATTATTTATTCACGATAATATTCACGATGGTTCATTAATTTTCCGTTTCTGATAGACAAATAATAATTGCTATTGTCGAATGCATATATTTCGCTATGCAAACGGAGTTCGTTTCGTCTTAACAAATATTTGCATTTGAAGCCATGTGAAATGTTCATTTTGCAGTGACGACAGCAGAGTAGCCTTATGAGTTCTTTTTATGCAACGCAAGGATTTCGATTGCTTTCGTCAATTTGAATAAGACGTTTACATAAAATTTCATTTGCCGATTCAACTTTGAGGGCGAGAAAAGTAGATATTTAAATCTTATTTAATTTTCTTTAATAATAACAATATATGTAAATTATTTGATAAGTTTTGTACACATGGAATATATTGACATAACATGAATATTTCATACATGATAAGTTTAGTTCATTAAAAAAAAAAAAAAAAAAAAAACTGCTCTTTATTAGAGAAATATTCACAGTTTCTTCATCATCGAGAATACAATCGGATCTCTATTGTGAAGTCGCGAAATGCAATTTGCGTAATTGCGGACGGTGAAATTAAAAAGCGTCGCAGACGTAGGAGTAATTTATTTATTGCGCGATCCTTTTAATTATATTATTGCTTAATTATGCGTTACGTTTATGCAATTACGTTTTTCTATGTTGTCCAAGTAATGTTTAAAACTAGTGCAACAGTATATATCTTGACGAGATTTCTCATGATTTCATTGTAGCGAGGGCGACAGATACATGAAGGTAGCGTGGAAGGATGTCAAGGTGGGTGACCTGGTTCACCTTTCAAACAACGAACTGGTACCGGCCGATCTCTTGCTTTTGCGAAGCAGTGATCCTCAGGGATTAGCTTACCTCGATACATGCAACCTCGATGGCGAGTCGAATTTGAAGCAGCGTCAAGTTGTCCGGGGTTTTCTCGATTTACAGGATACTTTCCAGCCTTCCAAGTTCCGATCGGTGGTTGAAGTCGACCAACCAAGTACTAGAATATATAGGTAAATATTAGCGGTATTTATTGTGTATTAAAATTAAAAATTCCATTATTTTTAAACGACTTTGGGAGAGTCTTTTTTTGGACAAATTATCAATTGTCTTTCATATCTTTAACGTAAACCTTCGACTCGAGACTTTTACAATTTATTTGAGAATCGCGCTCATCACAATGTTATTGCCGTGATAACGATTAGACGGAATTAACTAGATTACTAGAATAATCCCACTGACGCGTCTGTTAGGTTTCATGGCGCCGTGGTACATCCAAACGGTGGCAGAGTGCCCGTATCCACGGAAAATCTTTTACTCAGGGAATGCGTCTTAAAAAACACTGACTTCGTCGAGGGTATAGTCATATACGCTGGTCATGAGACCAAAGCGTTACTAAATAACGGTGGTCCTAGGTACAAGGTAAACATCAATGGTAAAACGATATCTCCTTGATAGAAATATCATGCATTTTTTGTGCAATTAATCTGAACTTATATTAACTCTGTTTAATAATTGAAAAGTAAAGATTTAGTATCCTAATCAAGATATAGTTTACCTGCAATTCTTGTGCAAAATCTGAATCCATTTACTTAGCAAAAACAGGACAATAAATAGATTACGTAGTATTTTAATTAATATAATAATAATGCAACTATAATGATAATATCTATACTGTGTGAAAAACAAATTATTAAATTTTAATAAATATCTCTTTGAATAGTCTCCTAGCAGAATATTTAATAAATGTAAACACATATATATTTATTATATATAAGAACCATTAGTTTGATTCAACTATCATTTTTTTCATTTATCTAAATATTTATTTTCCGTAAATAAATATTTCGTTAGGACTATTCAAAGAAATATTTATCCAAATTTAATGAATTTTTTTCTCAGTGTATTATAATACAAAACAATAACAAGACAAATGCCCAGTTAACGCTATCTGCAAATTATATATATTTTTAATAGGGGAAAACTGCTTCAGCTACTAAATAAACTTCTCTCAAGCTCTTGCCCATTTCAGTACACAGGGTTGTTATAATTAATGAGAATACACTAAACAGGATTGGATCAGTGTTTAGGAAGATTGCATTTCTATCAGGGAGATAATTTTAGAATAATCGAAATGATTGAATAAATAATGTACATTGAAGAAATACCTTTCTGAGATGCAACGTGCACGTGATTTCAGCGTTCTCGTCTGGAGAGATACATGAACAGAGACGTGAAATGGTGCGTGGTGATATTGATGGCACTGTGTGTGATCGGCGCTTTCGGTTGCCGATTCTGGTTGTCCGCATACACGGGTCTGTCGATAGTGCCATTTTTGCCGGTGCTGCAGGAGCCGATTTACGAGAGCTTACTGACATTCCTGACATTCGTCATAATATTTCAAGTGATGATACCGCTGAGTCTGTACGTGACGATCGAGATGGCTAAGGTGGGACAGGTGTACCACATCGGCCACGACCCGGCCCTCCACGACACGGAAACCGGCCGTAAGGCGGAATGCCGCGCGCTGAATATCACGGAGGAACTAGGCCAAGTGAGTGTGGCAATTTATATTAAATGAATTGCGCGCGCGAAGCAAATATTTTACGATATTAATTTATCAATATTATGAAAATTTTATCTCTCTTGAGAAAAAAGTAAAAATTAGATATTTATTTATATCTTGAAATTGATACACTTCTAATATGAAAAACTAATATAAAAAATATAAAATATAAAAAAGAATTTTTATGTAGTAAATTCAATTAATTTAGTATTTGAATGATATAATCATTCTATATAATTATCGATACTTCTTTGTATTATTTTTTTGAACATAAAAATTTTGCAGATTTCAATTTTGAATAATAAAGGCGAATAATAATATACGAGTCAACGCAAGATATAAATTGCTAACATTAAACTTTAATAACTTTTTTTGCAGATAATATATACAAAATGTATAAATATTATACTTGGAATATTATTATTGAATGACAGGTTCAGTACGTCTTTTCCGACAAGACTGGCACTCTCACGGAGAACAAAATGCTATTTAGGAGATGCGCAGTAGGTGGCCAAGATTACTCCCACATGGGCGACAACGAGAATCTGCTTCCGTGCTCGCGGCTCAAGGAGGACCTGCTCATAGGTACATTTCGACATCGCTTACAGGAGTTTCTTATTGTCTTAGCCACGTGTAACACGGTTGTCGTAAATTCTCAACCGCATCACGATAGTATGAACTCTAGTGGAGTCATCGAGGAACCTCAGAAAAACGGAAGTGGTCCTACGAGGTTTGTATACGTTAGAAGGAGTACAAAAAACTGATAGATTAATTTCATCTTTGAAAAAAAAGAAAATAATTAAATATGGCTTTTTTTACAACTATGAAGATCGAACTCAGATCTATCATCACATTTATTTGCACGATTTTTTTTCACGAACTTAACATCGGGGTATTCAACAGAATAATGGAAGCGAACGCGAGCGCATTTCCGACCATAAATTCTCCACCGGTACCGCTATCTCCGAGCAATAGAGCTGTTCACACCTTATCTTCAGTTTCACCAGTAATTAACACGGCAAATACATTCGACGATACTTCAAAATTCCCGTTTAAAATTTCCAGGTTGGTATAACGCTCGGGGGTACTCAAGATGCAATGGTGTTTAATGGAGCAATATCTTTATAGGCCAAAATTGCTGAACGTAACATCGATACCGAGTCTGAGCATCGGATTGCTGGGACGGAAATTTTCGCCAGAAGGACAGAAGGTTTCAGGACGCAGTCCTGACGCGAAAAACGGCGACGAATTGCTACAGACTCCAGCGATCTACGAGGCGGAGAGCCCAGACGAATTGGCACTGGTTCACGCGGCACGTGCTTACGACATCAAGCTAGTGAAACGGACGCCCCGCAGTGCGATCATATCCTTCCCGGACAAATCAACGATCGCGTTCGAGATACTTCACGTAGGTGCATGGTTACAAGTCGCTCGCGTGAGAATGTAAACAGCTGGGTACTAAAAGAATTATATAAGTGGTTCACCGTTGTCGTTCTTCGAACGCTTGCAGGTGCTACCGTTTGACTCAAACAGGAAATGCATGTCGGTGCTGCTCAAACATCCTCATACCGGCGAGATAATGCTGTACAGCAAAGGTGCCGACACGACGATACTGCCGGCGCTTTCGTCGAGCGACGAGAACACCATCGCCTCGGCGAGTATCCGACAGTATCTGCAATCGTACGCGCGTCAAGGTCTACGTACATTGGTGATGGCGAAGAGAACACTAACGGCGCAGGAGTATGAGACGTGGCGACAAAAACACAACGAGGTGGAATTGGCAACGGAAAATCGCGAGCATCGCATACGCGATTCGTACGCGATGTTGGAGTCGCACTTAACATTATTGGGTGCGACTGGTATCGAGGATAAACTCCAGGCCGGTGTACCTGAAACAATGGCCGCTCTGGTCGCCGCCGGGATCGTCGTGTGGGTTCTGACAGGTTCGTGGAAAATCACTCACCCGCGAGCCAGTGAACAATCGCGACAAACCGGTTTAACATCGGCGACCACTATTTTTAGTGCGAACGTCTTAGAGAGAGATACACGAGGCGTTTCGTATTGAATCGTAAATACATTTTCCCCCACGTAGCTAACGTTGCACATACTCATTATTGCATATAAATACTATTATATAAGAACGATGGATAAAAAAATTAATAGAAGCGTACGTATCGAAAGCCAATGAAAAATAAATATCCCTCGGAACCAATCCGTGTTCTTGAACGTAATTAGCGCGCGTTAATGCGAGTTCTATACCAACACGGACTCATTTCCCGTTTCAGGGGACAAACCAGAGACTGCAGTGAACGTGGCGTATTCGGCGCAGCTCTTCACACCAGCCATGCAGCTGCTGCAGCTGCAGGCGAGATCGAAATCCGTAGCTGAGACGCTTATACATGGTTACCTGGAGTCGGCGCGCAAAGAGCGTATAAACAGTCATTCGCAGCCGGGTATGATAGGCATCGCGGACCCCGCCGGCATATACAACCGAGATTCCACCGAGAGAGATGCACATAGGATCGGTAGCCCATGGCCACGACAACGCGCGCTTGTTGTGGACGGCAAGACGTTGACCGTGATTCTAGATCCGCGATCGGGTTTAACAGGTCCGTTCCTCGAGCTCACGAAAATGTGCTCTAGTGTCTTAGCTTGTCGCGCCACGCCATTGCAAAAGGTAATGCATTGACAATAATGTTAAAGACTAATATTCAAATTCTGTCTTTTATATATTTCAAGATTGTCTTAAGTAATGTCTTGTAATGTCTTAAGATGCTAATACTTTCTATAATACAGTAGCTTATAATAATATCTCAAGGCTATATTTAAGACCATTTTAAATGTAAGTCTAACCATGAATATCTGTGATGACTTTATGACAACTTACTCTCTCGAAACGGTCTTAAATATAAAATCAATTATGGTCGATATTCATAATCAATTCTTATATTTTAAGATCATCTTAAGTACAGTTAAGATGTCATAAATCAAACGTAGCATCTTAAAATACATTATTTAAGACAATCATGAAAATTGAAAAATAAAAACTGTCTATGAATACCGATTTAAATAAACTGTCGTAAATTATCAATTATTATAATAGAATAATAACGAGGAAGAGTAATATAATTCACTTTATGTGTTGCAGGCATATATAGTCCGCATTGTTAAAAAACAGTTGGGAATGAGGACGTTAGCAATTGGCGATGGTGCGAACGACGTTAGCATGATACAGACCGCCGACGTAGGCGTTGGTATTTCAGGACAAGAAGGCACGCAAGCGGTAATGGCAGCCGATTTCGCGATTTCCCGATTTTCTATGCTCAGCCAGCTCCTCCTTCTACACGGTCATTGGTGTTACGACCGTCTCGCTAGAATGATTTTATACTTCTTTTACAAGAACGCTACTTTTGTCTTCCTTATATTCTGGTTTCAAGCAAGTATCGAATGAACATAAAGAAAAAAAAAAAAGAATAAATGAGAAATAAATGATTATAATTATATACCTTTATAATTATTATTATATATCTTATAATCATGTTTTTTTATCTTTTCTTGCAGATATTTTGCGGCTTTTCCGGTACCGTAATGATAGACCAAATATATTTAATGCTGTACAACTTACTATTCACTTCGCTGCCGCCTCTCGCTTTAGGCATCTATGATCGAGTCGCCAAAGCTCGCATATTACTTGCAGCACCGGAATTATACACAAGAGGACGTTTAGGACTAGTGTATCAGTCGTATTCGTTTTGGCTCACGATCATGGACGCTCTTTACCAAAGTGTCGTCATATTTTTTATTACCAAAGAGGTTGGTAATAACATTTTGAATTCGCTATAGAAGTAATCATCACATTACTATAAACGCACGTTATATTTCAGGTTTATGACGATTCGATTATTGACATATGGGAATTTGGGACGACTATTATGACATCGTGTATCGTTGTCATGCTAGTTCATGCTGCTATAGAAACTAGATCTTGGGTAAGTAAGAAATGGAGATGTAAACCACGTAAGAGAAAAGATAAAAATGTCACAGATGTTACATGTCTCATATTGTAATATTTATTTCAGACTATAATCCATATTGGTGCCATCTTCGGTTCCTTGGGCATTTTCTTTGGATTTTGCTTATTTTACAATGCTGTTTGCGTCAACTGCATGGGTCTACCTGGGTCCTTTTGGATAATGGAACAAGCCTTTACACATATCACATACTGGTTGACTGTGACACTTACTTCTGTTCTTGCCTTAATGCCTAGGTAACCTCGCTTTATATATTATAGTAATTGTATGTGAGCAGTATTAGTTCACGCGAATCTACAAAGATGAAACTACTGGATTTCTAGTTTTGTATTTAATCAATTTGAAAAATTTTCTGTCTTTTGCTTTAGGTAATTTAAACGCCATTTATAATCTTGTATGATTGAATTGTTATAACATCATATTGAATATATTAATCTGTATAAAAAATTGTACAGATTAATATATTCAATATGATGCTATCATCTGATCAGAGTTAAATTATGATTTCGCGAAACTTTTGCTACTTCTTTATTATTTCTTTTTCCATATAGTAATTCACCACTAATTAATCGTTAATTTTAATAAATAGCAAATTTAATGGTATTCTTTTTTTTTTATAAAAAAGGTTAGTGTATAAGGCGATACAATCCACTATCACACCAGATGCTATGCACATTGTCACGCGGCAAGTCGCCACGAAAAGCGACGGTCAAATACGTCGGCAACGTATTAGCAGTCAAAGGGGCGAAATCAATTTTATTGCTGGATGGTCGCGTTCCTCGCAACACGCTACTATTAGGTATATCACATTTACACTCATCGTTACTTAATTACTCTAAATAATATACCTATGGGTTTTATGCTGTTCTCTCTCTTTCACTTGAGTATTAATTCATGTATTAATTATTTATTGCAGACCCAGTAGCTACGGAAGTAAAAGCAACGCTCTCACGACTATCGTCGCATAACAGGTACAATCGGATGAAGTGTGTCCATCTCGTTAACCGAGAAAATCAATCGATCACCGAAAAAGGGGGAATGATTTTTCACTATTCAGATTCTCCTCAAAAGCCATGCCGTTCCTTCATCGATTAGAGGAGAATCTTCTGACCTCCGAAAGCCTTTTGCATTGACAATCTTGTCTAATAACTAACTATATTTAATTATTTCTGATTAACGATTTCCTAGCCTTCTGTAAATTGTAGTTCTAATGTTGTAGGTACGAAAGAAAAGTTAGTTAACCGTGGTGTTATTGTGAACGTGAAAAATTGCGTTCGTTAATATCACCATGCAATATAGATCATTAAAGAGCATCAAAACTTCGTTCGAGATGCAATACGCGTTATCGCTGCTCGTAGAAATGTCCTCGTTGCCGATAACGCTAACATTACATTGCCATTTTCGAATTCGAGTTATAGCGGCTGATTTAAAACCGAGTGGCCTTAAATCTCAGATCGTTCGTTGCATTTAATGGCTGTGATTTCTAGGGACCAAGACTGTACGTTGTAACTGCATTGAATCAGGCAGGCCGGATTCGCGAGTGAAAGTCTATGCTGCGTTACTTTAAGTATTTCCTCCTTTATTTTTTTCAATCTAGAACTTCACTCGAACACGCATCTCTGTAACTTCTACTCTCGAGCAGATCGTATTCGAGATGACCAACGTTATTATAAAGACAGACGGACATACATAATAAGTTCTAGTTTATTCTTGTCGAAAATAAATGTACAAAGACATTGTAAAAAGAATGCCAAGCATGCAAATGTGTATATACAAGATATTCCGCGAGATGTATTTTGTAACCGTTGAGAGAAATAGATTTTATATATTAAATCGATTTATTTTTTAAGTAAGTTTTTAGTTATCGTTTTAAACGTCGTGTCATTCGTGAATAGCAGGATGTGGGCGCGGATGCTTAAAGAAGCATAACCGCGCTGAGTTTCTTCTATTTCCGGTCGATTCGCGAGATTAACGGAACGCCTCATATAAATCATGACGTAAAGATACACACGAGTTTTACCTACTGTTGTGTTACTATCTATTGTAATACCACAGAAAATATTGTGAGATAGAAATTTTAATTTGGATAATGCATATTGAATGTTATACTGATAGCACGGTGCTCCTGCTATCTATGTATAGTATTTTGATAATGATCGAATTATTGTTGTGTGCGTTTACTGATGTAAGGAGAGTATTAAAAAAAAAAAAATCAACCATCAACTTGTCTGCATTATGTTTTTGCTAATCCATTTTGCTATTTTATCCTGTTATCCCTGAATAAACATTTAATCATCTGTCATCATAACTAATGCATGTGACAGTATAAATGTAACTGGATAGAATTTCATCCATTAGTAAATTCGGTGAGCTAAGCCAAAATAAACAAGAAAATTTCTTTACATTTGCGTGCACATGTTTATATGTAATTTCCACGTGTACACAAAGCTGAATTTTTAAATAAAAACAGACGAAAGATGGAAAGGCACGGCTATATCAATAATCAAATGTAAATATTTAAAAAAAAAAGAATAATTTTAGAATATAATCGGTTTTAACATTTGCGATTTTAGAAATTCTAAGGGACTACGCGAATATAATGGTTGTTATAGTGTGAGATTGATTTTACTCTAGGTTCGCGTGATCTCTCATGGAATAATAATCGATAACGGTAAACGAAGTTGTGCAGAGTCGAGCGACTGGCATGCAGCTGATGCAGCACAATGCAGCAGCGTTGTACAAAGGCATCAATATATGACTAAAAGCTATGAGCACCACTGACTCATGCGGAAATATGGCACGACGGAGGGGATGGACTCGAGGAGGAGAGGTAGGGGGTGCCGTTGGCGTGCTGCTGCCGCTATTGCCTTTGCCTCATCAGTACTGCCGAGTACTGCTAGTGTTGGATATCGTTCATGTGACAACATAACTGTGCAAGTTCCCTCGCGAACTCGCGTCTGTATTCCGATCTGAGATCGCTTGGTCGTTCCATGCACTAATCTTCACAAAACTGAGAGTGACAATCGGTCGAATCTAGAAGGCAAGTATAGAGAAAGGATTAGAACGTTTTCACCTGCACCTATATACTCTACAATCTGTCTTCTTTTCTTTGTTTCCAGAAATTTCTATATGTCATTTGTAGGGGTAAACTACGGCTTTTTCGTGATCTGCATCAGATTTACAGCAGTATATTTTTATTTATCAGAATGTCCGCGATACATTTTTAATTATTTTTGTAATTATTGTAATTTTCTCTGGGAATGTAATGCATGTAACAGAGCTGACCTGAGCAAGTTGCACTCATATGTCGCGCATAATGAATTTTATGATCGCATCTATGTACGATAGCTATCATTACACGCGAGGTCCAAGGTCAGAAATTACCTGACAACATTTGCAACTGTCGTGTGTACAATATGCATTCTGTTTTCGGTATTAAATAATTTTACGTTTTTGCCATAAAATACAATTTTTATATTTTATTCCGCAATTACAGAAAATGTCGATACTTAAATAAGTAACTTGCGATGAGTAACGACTTTTGCATATGTAATAACTCTATATTTTAAAATGTACGATAAGATATACTTCGCTTCATGAAAGTTGGAATCGACTTTGCAATTATCTCGAAGGTAATTTTGCTTCATCAAATGTAAATAACTTTACATATTGTAATTGCCATTTACTTTTTTCTCGTTTTGTGATTCACGCCTTTAACACGACCACGTGTTAACCGGCGAAGCTATATCGCACTGGGAGTGTAGTTTTAATTTACTAATTACTAATCAGGCGCGATTACGTGATGTTATCATTACATTACAATGACGTCAATCAGAAACTCGTCACACTTTCAAAGATCCGACAAGAATGACAGTAATGCCGACTGCACCTCGGCATAAAAAAATACTCATGGTAATATATCCTTGCGATAACGATGTATGCACAAAGACGAGCATTGTAAGACTTGGAAGGATAAATGCACAAATTCTTCGAAAAATGTAGATGGATTAAAAATAATCAAATTACTTAATTTCGAATTATTATTATACAAAAGAATTGAATTGCTTGAATGGCGAAATACAAAATTGTTTGTAAAAATGTCTGCATCCTTTTTCCTGAGTAAGCTACGTATATGATACATATATACTTCTACTGAATCATTTGTATTGATCTTTGTCGGTCACGAAGTAACAGTATCAATGCAGCTAAATGTCAAATGGAAATGTACTCATTTTAGTGTATTTTAGTTCTTGCTAAAAAAAAAGATAAAAATTTTTCAAAATATTTTTTTTTTATTTAATTGTTTAATCTTTCTGTTAATGCACGCGGCGGACACCCATATCGAATTTTAAACAGTAAAAAATTTTATATTTTTGTATAACGAATTTTATTGAATAAGGCCTCAAAAATCCCATCCTTCGAGTAACAACAAAGTTTTGCATAGATTTTATCTCGTTTTCACTTTCACATTTTTAAAAATATATTAATAAAAAAGTTGAAAAATGACAGAAAGATTAATAACTCAAAGAACAAAATTAATCTCGAAAAACATTCGATTTTTTATAAAATACCTTTTTCTATTCTGTTTTATTAACTCATGTATTTGTTCTATTTCTTACAGATTGGGAATTCTTAAGCAATTCGAAGAATCGGAATATTTACGTTTGATAAGTACACGAAGAAACATTAATCTTTTAACGAGGAAAATTAGACCAGCTCAACAATTGCAGATAAATTGTTTGATACACGCATTTGATAGCCTTAGTTCGGATGATCTTTAATATTACACGAATCATCCGTTTCTCAAGAAATGTCAAACAAATTTCTGTGTTAGCCTCGTCAAATGTGTTTTCTTGAAGAAACCTCAAAGATATTATTGTGAAAACGATAAATTATAATGAAGATATGTTTATTTCCTGACAAAAAGGAAATCTGAGAAATAATTAGAAAATTAATCAAATCGAATATCATGACATATTGCAGATTGATTTTCCAATATCATGAGATATTAGAAAAATCTTAAGAAATATAATCTTAATCTTACAAAATAAATGAATGTCTGCATTTTGAAAGAAACTATCGTATCAACGAGGTAATAACAGTGAAACTGATAATTCAGAACTTTTCACTTATCTCCGAGATAATAAATTCTCACACAAACGAGTTAAATTCATAACTCTTGAGAATTCACCTATTATATTATCGAAAGAAACTTCTATTGTAATTTTACGAATTTGTCAAGTTCTGATAACGTATGATAAAAACCATTGATAACAGCACGTAGTAAATTTAAACAGCGAGGAATACACACGTGAGACTACGCCAAGTTCATTTTGTATATTACTGTAGGAGGTAAACATACCAAGTGCATTTCCTTCGAAACGAAGGAGCGAGGCAAAACGAAAATAGATTTTTTAAACAATAGTCCTATTGACAGAAATGATTCTCGCGAAACGCGAAAAGTGCGTATATTAGAGCTAATAAGTTTGTGCCGTTTCTGTCACTATAGCTTACATTATATAATCACGTCAGGCGGTTCAATTAAACGATGACCTTGAGGATTTCTTACCGGTGGACCGTCAGCTTGGCTGTTTCGAGGAAACGAAGCCGGAGATGATGCCGAAGAGGAGCTGACATTAGTTGTATTATTCAGTTGTCTCATTTTGACGAAAGAGAGGCCAAAACTCTCTTGGGGGATGTCACAACCTTTTTATCGGCGAAAGTGCGAGCACTGCACTTGGAGTTGAAGAGATAAATAAGAAAGAGAGTAACCACGTGATTCACGTACTGGATAAAAGATGACTGTCTCCTACACTGCCGAGGTAGCCACTTGCAGAGGCCTCGGGTGCTTCCTCAAGTTATTACTCAGGTGAGATTTTGACCTTTTAGCATTTAAGAGGTTGATTAATTATCAACGGTAATATATTATATTTATTTAAAATTTCTATCTATTTTTTTGTAATTATGTTTTAATATTTCTGAATTTTTATTTTTATTTCTCGACGAACATACGATGCTGTTATTATCACTTAATGTGTTAATTTTGCAGCTGTTCATATTTATTTGTCTATATTTATTTCCTTTTTTACACTATCTTCTTTATTTTTCTTCTACGATTGCAATAGCAATTATATGTACGATTATATATTTACGATTGCAATAGCAATATAATTACAAATATATAATTTACATAGACGATTTGTACGCTTTCTCGTTTTTTTTAAATCGTTTTTATTAATCGTTTCAAATAAAATACTAACGCGTGAGTTTGTAAATGTCAATGATATTCACGTAGGTCGGATTTCTGAGAATAGTACCGCGAATTATATTGGAATACTTCCAATTGCAAATAACGGGTGTTTGCATAAAAATATAACACACTCTTCGTCATTCAAAGTTGATAACACCTCAAACATAATGTCGCTACTAGTAACGAGAAACTAACAATAAGCTAATACGAAACAGGATTATTGACTTTTAGCTCGATAACAGCACACAAGTTACGCTATCGCTTACTGTTATCATTTAATACGTCGTTAGATTTTAAATCGCATTAATGTTATTAAGATTCTGGTCTACCTAGCAAATAGATGAGATCGCTCATTACGAGACAATTTTATCACTCTCGAGATGTTTCGCGTCTGCATCTAATTTACGCGCGATTTTGTTTCAGATGGCGAGCGAGCATTTACAAACTTGTCTGGCTCGATCTCACACTCTTCCTCTTTATCTACTATTCTCTCTCCGGCATTTACCGATTGCTGTTGAACGAGACACAAAAGAAGACGTTCGAATCTGTGGTAGCGTACTGCAACGAGTACAGCGACCTGATACCACTGTCATTCGTCCTAGGTTTCTATGTCAGTATCGTCATGACCAGATGGTGGAATCAATATATGACGATACCATGGCCTGATTCCATCGCAGTCTTCGTATCAGCCACTATACATGGGAACGATGACCGCGGTCGTCTAATGCGTCGAACAATCGTTAGGTACCTTGTGTGCAATATAAAGATAAACATGGTTGGAGACACTCCCGCGTCTCCTGATATAGTATCATAAACTACGACTATATATATATATTATATGTATATAGACTTAAATTGCATCTAATTTAAATTGCAAAGAAAGACATGTGACATGAGCTGCTCAATTTTCTTTAAGCGATAGAAAAAATCGATTGACCCTGCAACGGCACACTTATTAGTAGAGCGTTATACATGTGGGTCATTTATGTCCAATCCAATTTTGAGGCTCTTAAAGTACTAGAAAAATTCTGTAAGAATTCAAATAAATTAAAGTAACAAGGCTAAGGAACCAAGTCAGTTGTTAGTGCTTCCTAGTATGTTTACAAAAATTAAAATAAAATTTGACATTTATTACAAAAGTTCCACAAGAATTGACACATGTTCTTTAAATTTTCTCTTTACTAATATGTTATTCTGTTATGTAGACATTAGAAAAAAGTTTGGAACAATTATAAAAATTATATAGATATACGAGAGATAACAAATAATTGTTAGAAATGGCATAGACACAAATTACTATATGTGCCATTGAAGGGTTAAATATGCTAAAGTACGTGTAATTGTTTTCTAAGTGTTAAAATATATAATAATTTGTTAAATAAAAATCAGTAAAAAATATTGTCATTAAGTATTTAATTTCACATGTCATAGACAAGATAAAAAATATTTCCCATTATATAGCGAGTTTTACTTTGGACAGATCTATATTAATACGAGATTTTAGTTTCTCTAATAAAAACGAAATTCATTTTTTTTTTTCAGGTACGTGTGCGTTTGTCTGACTATGGTTCTAACAAACGTTGCACCGCGTGTAAAAAAGAGATTTCCTACTCTAGAGCATTTCGTGGAGAGTGGCTTGTTACTGGACAATGAATTATTGATATTTCAAAATCTAAATGCGAAATTCCCGAAGCCAAGTAAACATTGGCTGCCGATAGTTTGGGCTTCTAGTATCGTGACCCGAGCTCGACAGGAAGGTCGAATACGTGACGATTTTGCGGTGAAAACTCTAATTGATGAACTTAACAGGTTCCGTGGAATGTGCGGCAGTATATCGCATTACGACACAATCAGCGTCCCGTTAGTGTATACTCAGGTAGACATAGAGACTACTTAAATTAATAATTTCGGGAGACAAAGTAATCGTAAGAAGTTTGGAGAAGTTGAGAAGAATAATATTTAAATATTTAATGTAAAGATGTATTTAATAAATGAAAAGGGCCGCGTCGTTTATCAATTTGTCGCATCTAACGATCTGACTCTAAATTCTATTTTTATTGTAGGTCGTAACATTAGCCGTCTATACATATTTTTTGACTACTGTGATGGGTCGTCAATGGGTTCAAAAGTCAAACTCGGACATAGATCTGTACTTTCCAGTATTCGCGACGTTGCAATTCTTTTTCTATATGGGCTGGTTAAAAGTAGCCGAAACGTTAATCAATCCATTCGGCGAGGACGACGATGACTTCGAAGTAAACTGGTTAATCGATCGTAATTTGCAAGTAAGAACTACTTCCTCGCGTCGTTCACTTTTTTCTCTCTTAAAATTCTAAAATAATGTTGCTATTTTTTTGCTTCTAAGGTGAGCTATCTAATTGTCGATGAGATGCATCACGATCATCCTGAACTCATACGTGATCAATATTGGGATGAAATATTCCCTGCGGAGCTCCCGTATACCGCAGCAGCACAACCCTACCGCGAGGAACCTCCTGAACCTTCAACAGCCGGTATACAATTGTCTGCCGCGCAACAAGAATTGCAACCATCGTCGATTAAAATTGACGAGATGATAGCGACGGACGATCAGAAATTCCGCACCGATATCGCCGACGATGCTGCATCAGGAATACATTTTATCGCAGGAAAACTGTCCCGGTATAACTACAGATTACTTTCACATTTAAATATTTTTTATTTAAATTTAACGTAAAGCAGATCCATTTACATTTCATATTTTTAATGCAAACTCAGAAGCAATACAGACAGCACCGAGAGATTAATAAGGTAGCTATTTATATCTCGTGATGAAAGATTAATGAAGAGTAAGACTTGTTGGAATTCAAAGCACATACCTACAATAATTATAATTTTATTTTAATAAAACAAATATTAGATATAGAGGTAATAATAACATTAGATAATAAAGTGTAAGTACATTTTCAGAAAACACTGCGATTTATATAATATAGTATTATAACATTGATATGTGACATTATCTTCACGATTCTAAAGTTCTGCTAATTTTCTATTAGAAGCGCCAGTAGAGTAAGCAATCGAGATCGCAATATCAGCAGTGGTTCGACTCCTAGCAATTTGGGTGAGTCCCTTACGAGGGTAGCCAGCGTCACCAACGCACTTAAGCGATTGTTTAGCAAAGATGACAGGACGGATGGGAATACTGCGAATACCGCCAAAACCACGGGAAAGATGTCGAGCATGGGTTCAACAGCTTCATTGCAGCAACGACCACCTGGTGCGTTGCTTGTTTAACGTTAGAACATCTATTTTGTAACTTTTAATGACAGAATTGATGCCATTGCATTATCGTTGCACGAGCTTTGTAAGTAAAAAGACTATACAACGACAATATAATCGATACCAACACTGCCGTTAAAAGTTACAGAATAAGGGCTTACGTATTACGTTAAAATGACTTCATTAAGGACAAAATAATAATGCCATAGGTGCAGGTGGTTCCATGAGAATAGGCGTCATTGAGGAAGTGGACGAGCAGATGACATTGACATCGTTAAGACAAGCGAACGAAAACAGACCTCACGTACAAAGTATATTTCCGCAAGGTCCGCCACCTGCGAGTGATCCCGTTGACGTTCCCGGTGCCGCACAATCTTACAGCCGTGAGATATTCTCCAGGAGTGCACCCGCGCGTGCGGCAGCTTTAACGATAGCCGGCAGTACGGAATTCCCGTTCGAAAGGCGGAACATTTTAAGGTTCATAATTTAATGATAAGTCCAAAAAATCAATTCCGATTTCTAATATTTGTAAATATAAAATTCGCGACATGAGTATGAATTGTTTGATATTTGTCAGTTTCAAAGCCTTAAATTTTATTGGAATTTTAAATTCTACTAGCATTTTCTTAGAATCAAATTTGATTGGAAACTTGAAAATTAAATTTGGTGTTTCAGTTATATATATAATCAAGGCATTTTAATTTTCCTAAAATTTACTTTAATCTCAGAACCCAGGAATCCACACATTCGATGAGGTCGAGCACCGTTTATGAACCAGCGCCTAGTTATACCGGTAGTGGAATAAATGACGACTTGCGTAGTACATCAAGCACCTCTTCTAGTGACGTTGGCGCAAGCGAATTTACGAAATTGAAAACCGAAAGGAAGGAGAAAAGACGTAACCGGAAACTCACTCGAAGTGCTAGTGGCCTAAACGAAGATGAATCGAGAAGCCCTCACGATTCGGAAACTCTTCTACTAACGGAATTAGCGGACGCATCGCGACAAAGTATGAGGAAACAAAGTGATAGAAACGATGAAATTTAGGAAAAATACGATGATTTTTGATATTAGTTCGTCTAAATAAACTTGAATAACAAATAATTCAATCAAAGTAAGAAAATAACGTGACAATACATCATATAAATGACAATTTTGTTACATGTCTGCGATGTACTTATGAAATAAGTTTTATGAAACAAGTTCACCATCAAACAACGATAATCATGTAATAATGTTACATGTACATACGGATTTTATATTACATATAAGTTATATATGTAATATAAATTAATTGCGAAATTTTGCGATTAGCAATTTTTTAGCATTCTTTTGAAATCTGCTTTAACAACGACAAATTTGTAAAGAGTTATTTAAAAATATTTTTTACATGAGAGTACATATAACGCAGTGCAGTATCGTCGTGTGAAAGTTTTTCGCAAAAGCCAGCTTAGAAAATTTCAGTGTTTTCGTTTATTTATACATATATTAATAAATAAAAGGTTTTTTTTTATATTTTCAAGATTGTATACTTTCAAATACAATAGCTATGCAGGGTGAGACATTTAAAATAGATGCATAACTCGCTTGGTTTTAACAATAGAAGGAAAAGTATTAAACAAAAGTTGTTTGGTTTCGAGGAGTACATAATGTTTGTAGGTGAAGAAGGCGTAAATGATTAAATTTTTTAACGGAATGATATTTTTTTTATTTACATTCTGATAGAGCATTTTAAGACGAATACAGTGACCTAATTGAAGATCATTCAAGGTTATGCAAGGTCAGTAATGGAAAATAATTGAATGGAAGATAAATTGTTTCAAGGCACTCTTTGAATAATTTCGTGTCTTTTCTGCTTGTTGGTATACCGCTAATCGTTCAAGTGTATCACGGTATGTAAATAAACATTGAATCGCACATAGCATTATTCATATTTACTGATCAATTTGAATTTATCTATTGATCGAAATGCGTGTCTTGCGAAATGCGTTATACGAAAGCGGAAAAAGTCTATATGATTTATGGTGATCTATATATTTCCCAAGACACACGCACTTCAATCGATAGATAAATTCAAACTGATCAATAAATATGGATAATGCTATGTGTGAATGTTTATTTACATACCGTGATATACTTTAACGATTAGCGGTTTTTGCTTAAATTTAAAAAAAACAGATTTGACCTTTGCCTATCATTTACGCCTCCACCTACAAAATAATTATTGATATCACATTATGTGCCTTTCGACCAAGCAACTTTTGTTTGATATTTTTCCTTCTATTGTTAAAAACGAGCAAGTTAATCAGTGACCTGTTATAAATGCCTCACTGTGTGTATATACAAGATGTATTTTTCTCAAATTTTACAGAAATTTAATAACTAAAAGTAGTGATTAATTACTTATTTTGAGTATTGTTTGCTGTGCTTTTAATATTTTAAAAATAAGTAATTTTTCCTATTAAGCTGTTAAATCTGATTTCTGCAATAAAAGCAAAAAGATACGAAGATAATAGTACAAAAGTGCTATTAATGATATTGGTGAAAACTTGTTAATTCTCAAACAAAATGTTTAGTTAAGATTATTATATTTATTACTATTATATTTATCGCAATTTTAAAAAAGGAAATTTAATCTTCGGAAATTACTCATAAAGATAGAGAAGTTTAAATTTAGTCAAAAAAATGAAAACAAATACATAACTATTGAAGCTTTGAATTTTTTCTGTGAAAATTTAATTTTCGCAGTTCGTCTTAATATTGCACATGGTGTCTTATTGTACGTTTAAACAACTTGACTGTCGCTGGTCATTTTTGATTAACATTCCACGATGTACATACATGATGTGTTACGGTGCTATGTGAGCCGTTTATTTTGCAGTATTATTGAAATAAAGTATTTTTTAATAAGATATATATATATATACGATTGATTTTTATTTTAGCAAAGTATTACATTGTATTTTGTGAACTTAAATCCGGATTTTTGGTAGAGAATATTTTATTGCGGAGAAAAAATTAATTGTTATTCTGTGAAACACTACTATACGAAGAAATTTTACAAGAACAAAATGTCAAGAGCGCTAGTTTTATCGGTAATACAGGCGACTCCAGTATTCCTTTAATTGCGAGAGGCAAATTCAAATATTGGAACGTATAATTCTTGACAGCACCGTTAGATGTCACCATTTGCACGTTAAATCTTTTCTCTAAACAGCATTGAGATTCGGAGAGTTCGAAGCTAATCCGATAATCGTATCATGAACTATTTCTAAAGTTTTATCACATTAATCGTATCTTAAATCGATGTTGAGATAATATGAGCGATACACGCAAAAAATGCGTATGTGATAGCAATTCGGTATAACGCACTATTATACTTACGGAAAATTACAGTGAGACAGCTAAAATGCCTGTTTTTACCAATTTAATTTTAATCTTGATTCAACTTATTTATCTTTTTATTATAGTTCTAAGAATCAGATCAAGATTACAATCAATCGTTATAAGCTTGAAATCTTATCCACTCGAACTTGTATAGCCACAGAAAGAGGTTTCTCTCTGATAGCCCCATAAACGTAAAGAAAATTATCCAGTCACACTGTACAAGTTGTGTGGCTCTTAAAGCCAAAGCATAGATGTTTGGATAGCGCATAATGCATAAGAAAATAAACCAATAAAAAGGAAACCCTTCATTTTTTTCCACGAAATAAAAAAACTGATTGATTCTCTTTCTCTCATGTCTTATACAAGAATCCAATAAGTGTTCTTGCTCTAAAAATCGGAACACACAGCTAGATTAAAAAAATTAATTAATCAAAGTTTTCATTCCAATGAAAGGGAGGAAATAAAGGACTTTGATTGGTTTGTTTTCTTATACATTATGTGTTATGCAAAATTCTCTACCCTGCCCTTATAGGAAGCCCATTAATCCCGGATCTACAAGAGTTTTAGGGCGACTGTTACCAACTTCGATTAACTTAATCGACGATTAGTCCATTGGAATTGATCAATCGCGTCTGTCGTCAAAACTAAATGATAAATGTGATTGGTCAATTCCAATGGACTTATCGTCGATTAAGTTAAATCGGCATTGGTAAAGCTATATCCACACAACTTGCATAGCTGCATAAACGCATGCATAAAGAAAATTATCCAATCGCATTTCCCTTATAGAGATGCACGTAAAATGTGATTGGATAATTTTCATTATGCATACGTTTATGCGGTTATGCAAAGCATGTGCATAAGGAATTTTATTGGCCCATTTTCTTATGCATGAGTCAATGGACCAATCAAATTCTTTATGTATATGGTTTATGCGTTATGCAAAAGTGTGTGCTGCGGCCTTAACAGTCATCCTTAAAGTCTTTAAGCCATAAGAAATGGATCATAATCGATTATTCTCCTTGAATTCGACTGTAATTAGTTAATTTCTTTACGGTTTAAGGATTGATTTATACTGGCCGTAATCTGTAAAAATTGACCAATCACAGTCGAACGAGAGGGGAATAATCGATTTTAATTGGTCAATTTTTACAGATTACAGCATAAGTTAACAAATTACGGCCAGTATTATCCAACCCTAAGGCTTGAAACTATTATAGATCCGGAGTTAATCTACATTGATAGAAATGAACAAGAGCGACGAACACTCCTTGTTGACTTTTGATTGGCCTCTGACTCTTAGAGCGCCGTATACGTGATCACATGATATGGAGGCTCCTTCAGGCTGAAAAGCACAGGCAGTATAGGAACAGGGGAATAAGAGGAATTTCAACCAATCAGAAAGCGTCCATTCTAGTACACATAGTTTCCGATAGGTCGAAAAATCTCCTATTCCCTGTTGTTCCTATCGCTTCTCGTTGTATTCTCAGCTTGAAGCGCCGCGCCGCGTTCGTCTACGATCGGGCGGATCAGGGGGGTCGATACGGCAGAGTCGGAGTAGGGCCGCGACAGTGCGTCGACGTTCGGCGCCGTGGCCGCCGCCGTGTATTGTTGGATTGTTACGTGTGGAGTGGGTAAATAGAGAGAGGGGCTCGCTTGGCGAGCCGAGCCGAGCGGAGCCGAGGCCGAGGGACTGTCTGGCTGCTTGTGTGCGCTGGCGGATCATAGCGCGAGCGGAGCAGCTTCGAGCGGAGCCGCGGCGGTGCGTGGTTCGAGCTGCTCGTGTGTGCCATAGGGGGCCACTGCCGGACACGACACGGACACGACACGATCACCACACACAGTAGCGCGCGTTCGTTTACAAGATGGCAGACGACGGCCCGTCCGCGGCGGAGGACGCGACCGCGGCGGTGGCGACGGGACTGGGGGACGGTGATTCTCGCGTGACGAGGGAGCGGCACAAACGCGCGGACGCCACCACGCCGATCGTCACTCCGGGGCCGTACCTCGCGTCTGGCCAGGACGCCTCCTCATCCGCGAAGCGCGTCGGCGGACACGAGGACGCCTCGAGCAGCGCGTCTCCGTGCGAGCTGGACGATCATCATCACGAGCGTCGTCTTCAGCATCTCCGTCATCATCCTCATCTTCGTTATTCTCACCACCACCACCATTCATCGTCTCATCATTGTAATCATCATCATCACCACCATCCTCATCGCCATCATCACCTTACGAATCATTGCGACGACGATCGCGCCAGTGGTGATTCTCCGTCGCCCGTCGATGCGACTGGGCCAACCGCGAGCGACGGCGAGGAAGAGAACGGCAGCGGTCTCGGAGCGCCTTACGGTAGCGTCGGCGTCGGCGCCGACGGCGACGGCAATGGCAGTGGTAGTAGTGTCGGCCTGTATCACGGTGATGTTAGAATCGAGGTAGTCCGGAGCGTCGTGGCGGAGGACGACCACGACAACGACGGCGACGGTGGCAACGGCGGCAGCGTCGGCGGCGTCGATAGTGACTGCGACGGTGATAGTAGTGCTGGCGGTAGTAATAGTATTAAGAGTAGTAAAAGTGGTGCTGGTGGTGTTGCCGCGGAAATCATGACCGGTGGTAATAATAATGATAACAACAACGCGGAGACGCGCGTCGATGTCGAGGACGGCACGTCGTCCTCCTCCTCTTCCTCGTCATCGTCATCGTCGACGCGATGCTCGGCGCCGAGCGCGGACAGTGCACCGGAAGTGAACGGCCACGACGCGGGCAGGCGGAGAGTGAGCATCGTCGTCGTCGCGACGGAGGAGGAGGAGACGGCGACGCGAGCGAACGAGGGCGCGTCGACGTCCGCGAAGACGGACAACGCTGACGTAGTCAGGCACCAGGGCAGTCCGTTCAAGGGACAGGTTAGGATGGCCGAGGACACCCTCGTTGGGCCCTGCGGCAAGAAGCGGTGCGCCGATCGATACGACAGCTCCGAGAGCTCTGACAGGTGAGTGAGCGAGACGATAGAAAGAAGAGAGGCGAATGGGATGGGAGAGTAAAAGAGAGAGAGAGACAGACGGCACGAGGGGGAGAAAGGGAAGAGAGAGAGAGAGAGAGAGAAGAGAGTGAGGGAGGGAGGGAGGCAAGAGGGAAGGTATACGGTAGGTCTAATAGATTCTCACGAATCGGGAACGTACGAATCCGCGATTCCGAATCGCGTTCGATCGTATACGAGAGACCAATGAATAAATGTATTTCCCGCGTCCTCCGGAGCTCTCCGTGATCTCCATACAGGAGCTCGCGACGAATTTCGCCTTTGAGAAGAAAAAAGAGAGAGAGAGCTATAATAAACCCGAGAGACCCTAGGAAGATTTTGTAAACAAAGCGCCGCGTGAAACGATCGGAGTAACAATACGTGTCCTACGTAGACCCGCGTTCCGCGAACGAGTGGTCTTTTTTTTTTTTGTTTCCCACTCGAGACAAACGCGTTCCGCGAAGTAGACCTTCCTTCCTCGCACTTGCACTCGCGTCGTGGACGACACGAGCAAGTCGGTAAAATCGTGTCGGGGAGCCTCGCTCTCTCGATCCGAACTCGCTGCGACTCGATTTCGTTGGCGGTCCGCTTCGCGACGGCGTTTCCCGCCCCGAGGAGAGCGTCGTAATTGGCGCGAAGCCGAAGCTCCACGAGCAAGAGAAGAGAGCTTCAACGGGGGTCGTTGTACCGCGGTTACGCGACCGACGGCCGTGTCTGTTGCTGCTGCTGCTGCTGCTGGCTGTTCGTTCGATCTCTCTCTCTCTCTCTCTCTCTCTCTCTCTCTCTCTTTCTCCCCTTCTTCGCTTGTGTGTGCGTGTTGCCTGCGTGTGCCGCGTGTGTTTATAGGTACGTAGATGCCTGCTATCTTTCGTCTCTCTTTCTCCAGTCTGTCCCGTTTCTCTCACTTGTCCTCTTCTTCGATGCTTCCGTCGGCCGAGCGACTGATTATTTTGGTGCATCGCGCGCGTATATCGAGCGCGTCGCCCACTGTTTTCAGCCGTTCGCTGATTAACGCGTTGCCAACTATAAACAATAGCGTGCCTTTGCAGTGCCGAGAATACGATCGAATAACACTGACTTCCTCACATTCCCTATGGAGTAATCTTGGGTTTCTATCTTGAATTCTGTTAGATAATATGCATGAAAAGAATGATTTTGTTAAAATATCTAAAAATTTTGAATTAGCGACTGAATCCAAGAGTCGAACATGTAAAGTTTTGAAGATTTGCGATTAGGTTTTATTGGAAATGTCTATTTTTGTTATTATATATATTTACGTCTTCGAATTTATTGTTTTTTTTTTTTTTGACTACGTGATTAAAAATTTTAATGTTATGACTCTTAATTTGTCTTTTTAGTCTATTACTTTTATGTTTTAAACTAAGAGTCCTTTGCCTTATTTATTATTGTTTAATTAGCGATACAGATCCGAATATTTGTGTTGAAAACAATTCAAACACGCTGAGCAAAAGGAATAGTTACAGAATTTTAGAATGAGAGATGACAGTCGCATAATTATTTTTATATGATCCAACAATGTTTATTTTCAGATTTATATCTTACTAAATTTTTAGATCAGCAAAATCGTTCTTTCCATGTATCGTACAATTTATGCTGGTTTCCACCAATAAAGATTATTCAAAGTCGAGAAACTATATATACTAGAAAAATTATTTCGTGACTTAGAAAGAAAATATTTAACATAAGATTAAAAAAGCACATTTTATGTGCTCCAAAATATCAACAGATTTCTTGTTTTGATAAACACGAACACCTAAAACTGTAGTTAATAAACTATCTCTAACTGAATCTAAGAGTTCTTCATCTTTTTCTAATTTTTCAAACTTTAGAAAAAGATAGAGTAGTACCTGAACCGAGATTAGAGTTAATCTGCATGATGGAAACGGGCATTAGTCGGTATTAGCGTTTGTCAAGAAAAGAATTTGTTGATATTTTGAAGCATATCAAATGTGTTCTCTGAGAATTACGATTTCACATTAGATATTTCTCCTCTTTATCTCTATCTTTAACACAGTTAATGTCTGTTAAGTCACAATCATGGAATAATATCAACTTCTCTAGACTGGACTCCACATCGCATGTTAAATAACGCACTTTTTATAATCGTCTACGAAACCGTATTACATGTTAATGAGAATCCCTTTATTAAAAACGGAATAGTAACAGAGACGAATATATTTTTACCTTATGTCGCTAAATATTTAATATTGAGTTGGGGAAAGTCTTTTTATATGTAAAAGGACCTTTATTTTACAATATCTTCGTTAAAAATAAACGAAATTTAAATTAAAAATAAGATTTTAAAGCTTGAAATTTCTACTTTTGAAAGAGATTACTATATTTTTGAGTTTCTGTGAGTTTGTTTACATATAAAAAACTACGAACTGAAACAGATAAATCTTTTTACTTTGAATCTTTTACATGCCAAAAAAAATTGCGAAAATGTTCGACTCGCTATCGTGTGAAAGCTTAAAGATTTCTCTACGAAATCGTTTTTAAAAAAAATGCTACAATTTTTTATTCCTGAGTTATAGTTAAGCAAAGAACACATTCTGATTTTATCTACTCATAACTGTGTTAAAAATCATCGTACCGCGATTAAACAGATTTTTAAAGCTAGAACTTTGTTCTATCGAATGATATAATTCGCAATAAATGGTGAGGAAGGGTCCTTTTATATATAAAAGATTTTTCCTCAACCTAATATTTTCAAACATAATTAACATTACTTTTTGAAAAGTACTCTTTTCGAGGTCATAAAACTTTTCATTAATTAACATTTTGCATTTATAAAATTATATTAATAGGAATTATTGAATGAAAATTATGCTCCAAGATTATCTTCTTTTAAAACGTATTTACATATGTATTCTCTTTTCTTGTAATTCAGATAACTATTCGCGATTCTCTTCATAACTTCTAAAATGTGAAATAAACAAAAAAATTGAATAAAAGAAAGGACGTGCTATTTTTCCTCGTATTTTTCTGAAATCGTATTATTTTGTGAAGAGTCAACATCTGCCGCGACTTTCTCGGTTCTTTTTCGCTTTATTCGAAATTCTAATCGTAAAAAATCAACGTGATTAAACGGCGAAGGAGCCGCGTCTCTCTCGAGAGTTTCCGATTAACGGCGTGCCGTTGTTGGTCTCGCGGGTTAAAGTGATGCCGATATCTATCCTGTCTGCCAGCGCGCGAGGGAAAACGGGTCGCAATAAAAGTTTAGTGTCCTAACGGTGCTCCGCTGTGGTATACTAAACTCTCGACCGCTGTATCTACGTAGAAAGTCTTGGACTCCCTCCTCAAATAATAACTGCGTTATTGTCCCTCGATACGCGCCGACGCGAAACCGACGGTAGCGTCTTCCGGTGCAACACTCTACAGCTTCCGCATATCTGCCTTCGTGCGAAATCTCACGATCGTTCATCGACGCACTTTATATATTTTTCGCGACCTGCGTAACTCTGTGCTGCGATAATAGATTCCACATATATACACCATTACCCTTGGAAAAAATGATTTTGCTGAAGTATCTAAATTTTTAGGTAGACACACATCAGAAAATAATAGTTTTGAATAACTAGAAAAATATCTGATGGAAAAATGTACGAATCAGAAGATTCTGATTGTATTAGTCAGAATTCCGATTATCCCAACTATAGAATTCTAGCAGATTTAACTGAAATTCAGATTTGCCTGTTATATTTTTAATCCAGAATTCTAATTAATCCAATCAGACGCTTTTCTCAGTGCAGCTTCAGCATCCCGCTTAATTATTTTAATAGATCAACCAAATTTATTTTCGGACTTGTATCTAACTAAATTTTTAGATACTTCAGCAAACCGTTCTTTCCATGTATATAAATCGATATATGTAGCATATTTTAAATTTGTAAATGTAGTCTCATTCCGAATTTAAATTCATTTATTCTCATTTTAGTTTAGCTTTATTCTTCTGTAGCATTATTATCTCGAGTCTCCTCAACTTTGATCTATCATTTACGTGTTTTTTATGTTAAAATAGAAAAGAATTCTCAAGTAAAGAAATTGTACAGGAAGGGAGGGAGAGAGAGAGAGAGAGAGAGAGATTGATTGAATATAATTTTAAACACCATTTTTATTATATTACAATATTAATACAAAAAATATCAGTTTTGTATTTTCATCTTAGAACGATTTGCGTAACACAAGAAGAAGCCGCATTAATATACATTTTTCTCTCGTAAGATATCGTCGCACGTTTTCGTCTTACTTTACATATACAAGTTTGCGGACTGATAAGCGAACTCATTCAGATAAAGCAGTCGACATAGTATTTACATTTAAAAATAACGGTTGAGTCAAGTTGCCCATGTTTTGCATTCCTCAGGCGCGCAACAGTGTGTTTACCCCCATCTTTCCCTTACAACAAATAGATTTCTCTCGATTACCTTCTTCCCTCCCTCTTTCTCTTTGATCTCTTCGCACACTTTCCTCTATTTCCTATTTAATACCATAGAATCCGATATGCTTCTTTGCACGTGAAACGAGAGACATTCACAATAAGTCTGTATTTTCGACTGTACTTTTATCGTATCTCGTTCCGCAACATTTGCCTTTTGCTCGTTTTCGTTCAAAGTTTGAATATATATTGATTTCATTTTGCATGCAGTAAACTTAATAAAATGCAGCCTGCTAAAAAAAAGCAGACTATCGTGATACTTTGACCTCGAGGAAACTAATTCGCATAATAAATTCGTCTCTGAATTCTATCCGCAAGTTCGAAAGGTTCACGTGCATTCGTTTGTTCGTTTCTTCGTTCGTTTATTCAGCATGATGTTTGGTCGGCAGTGGAGCAGCGTTCGCATTCTCCCGTTCAGGCGCGCGCGCGCGCGACGGGTATTATTTTTAGAAGAATCCAAGTCCGCGTCGGTCGGTCGGTCGGTTCCTCTGCCGGGTTTACGCGTCGTCGATTA